CAGTGGTGCGCCCGTGTCGTTAGGGTTCAGTAGTACAGTGTGTTGTATAAAGTTTTGTTTGGATATACCGGACATTAACGGCTCGAGTAACTTGATTTGGTAGAGGCCCTGACCGGACACCGCCGGCGAATACAACGTCCCATCAGTGACCTGGTTATGGAGCGGGCATCGGGTGGTGCCCACCGAATACACCCTATCGTCCATTTTCATAAGGTTGGGATCGCCTAACTCAGCGTAGGGCCAATCGGGACCCTCCCGGGCCGTGTCGTCCAGTTTAAGCAGACCTATGTTTAAGGCCAGAGCGACGAACGATTGCCGGGCCAACACTTCCCGGCCATCGCCCAGCCTTACCACGTATATGGCGTCTGTGGGCTGTTGTGCGGCACCGAAACACGTGATGACGAATCCCAACGGATGGCATATAAACCCGGAGCCGATGTGATGGGTGTCCGTATGTGCGCCCGGATTGCTGGCCAATATGCGTAGCGCCGGCTTAACCGATACGAATGGGATAAACCAATCGTCGGTAAATGCCTCGGGTTTAGGGTTGGGGTTGGGCTTAGAGGTCGACGGGTCTGCCATCTGAGCGCTTCTTAAAAGATATTGATGATTGGATCCACTGTTTGGTGGCATTTGTAGCGATTGTCCATCTCTTCGGTGGTATTGAATCCAGTAATTCGAGCCAATTGTTACCCCGATTACAGTTCTGGTCAACCATTAAGTGGTATTAAATATATATTTTATTGTTTTAATGCAAACCTTTTTGTATATAAATTGATCAATTTATACATCATTTAAACGCTTTCATTGAAATTACAATAAATATTAAATAAGATATAAAATCAGTTTTCAAAGTATACACACATTTGAAACTAACAAAATAACGAAATGTTCAAAATATGGCAAAATTTAAATAAAACACTTAAATATATCACGTTTAACAAAACTTTGTTCGACGTTGAAGTATACAAAAGATACATATTTTATTGACAAAATATAGTCCAGAATAACAGTAATCGCAAAAACCATATACTTTTTTAATTAAATTTTAACCGAAAGAACTTGTATTTAAATTTGTAAAGATTATGTTTAATTTTATACCACGCGAGAATTAAAATTTCAATAAATATTAATATATACTATGAATGTGCTTAACAACTATGACTCTATGTAAATCAATGCAAGTTTACATAGTAAAAACTCTCCCAGAGCTCTCATAGCACATTCTTAATATATACCCTTATTTATCCACTAGAATGTCTATTGTGCGATAGTTTTTAGCATAAATCACATATAATTATTTATGTATTGAATGGTCTGAATGTGAGGGGTATGTCGGACGCGGAGTACAGGGAATGGCTTACGTTTACGACTTCTGCTAAAAATAATCATACGTTTGGCTTAACTATCGGAGAATTCGCTCAAATCAATTCGGTTTGAAATTAGTTCCCCATATTAGTGACCGAAATGTCGACAAATTCTTCTACCCGACCCAGCCCGAACCCAAACAGACTCGACCCGAACCCGACCCGATCCCTAGATCCAAATTTCAAACCCGAACCCAACCCGAACCCTAAACCCAAAAATATAACAGTAAAGTAGATTTTACAAACGTTTAACCACATTGTTGACGTTTTATTGAACTGCTGTTACTTTTAAACTATAAAAACAATACTTTTTGACTTCTATTAGTGCTTAAAGAAAACAATTGTATGAATTTACGAATGTCTTTTGAGTTTAGAGTTTGCTTTTGGGTTTAGGGTCTGATTAGTGTTCGGGCTCACATTGGCTCAAACTCAAACCCGAACCCAACCCGAAATTTACAAACAAGTCCCGAACTCGACCCGAACCCTAAAGGGTTCGGGTTAAATTCGGGTTTGACTCGGGTTCGTGTTTAGGATTTTGCTCACTACCTCATATAAAGTAATAGTAGTGAGACCTCAGCCGCGCGCCATTCAACGTGTCGCACGGATCGCGGGCACGGCAATAGGACAACTGGTCACTCTCCGACAAATACTGCCGTAAAACAGTGTGTGCAATGTTATTTGAAATCCACTATTCGGAACCCCAATACATACAAAATTGTAATAATTCCTGTATTATCTCATACCCTATGTTAAACTAAAGCCATATATTATTGAATTTTGAAGATAATTATTTTACATTGTTATTTTCAGGAGCAACTCAAATCCATCAACCACATTTTCCTTACGCAATTGTTGTTAAAAACATTTATTTTAATATATTTTTTGCATTATATTAAATAGAATTAATAAACTAAATTTAATATATAAATATTAATCAGCTATAGTGTTCTACTAAAACTACTAAATTTAATATTTAGAAAATTCATTTTTTGATAATTTTGATTAATATTTTTAATACTATGATATTACAATAAAAACTTCATAATACAATTATTATATTATAATAACATTAATAATATATTAGTATATTAATGAATTAGTAAATTAATATATTAATGATATTATCATTTTCTACAATGACTTTAAATGGTATTTATTTAAATCAATTTCTGGATACGTTTGGATAGTGCTCGGTTGGGGCCATTTGTACTTACTGGTCAAATACGCGTTAAACTTATAGCACATTTGATTTAAATCCTAAAATTACACACAAAAATATTTTAGACATTAAAAAATTATACAATTATTTTAATTACCTTATTATTCATTACAACTACATCATTGTTATCAGTCATATAAACATTGAATGTTTGTTTGCTAGCCAACTGTACGCCAGTAGGTATAGTAAACTCATTGACATTGATATTATATTTTAGCGTATTATCATTACTGGAGAAAAATTTTGAAAATTATTTTTAAAATGTAAAATAAAATTTAAAAATACCTGTTGCACATAATGATATCAGTTATTTTCTGATCACTAGTTAACTGCGTATCGCTGTTATACTCATGCATAAGATATAAATGCAATTTTCCGAAACCTGTTGCCGTCAAATTAAACTGATTCAAACTGGCGTCCAGTTTTTGGACGTGCGGTACTTTAATTGTTTTATTTACCCATTGATTGACATCGTTATTAATTTTTACCATAACATTATGATCTAATGACTTGTAGTAATTTGCAATTTTTATCAATTTTATCAGGGTATGTTTTAGATGAATATTCTATCAAATAAATAGATATTAAAATTAATAAATTAAAAAAATTTCAACTAGTACATTTTTAACCACAATTCATATATAAAGAATGTGGTTTATAGCATCGGTCGGCCCCCCCACCTCTCCCAGCCACCGCTCTATGGGATTTAACATTTGATCCCAGCTTGAGTCTATGGATATACTTTAACATGGAGCCAACGTTATTTTATGGGTAATGCTACTCTTATGGGACTAATGTCAAGTCTATGACATAGGTATAACATAGGTAATGCTAAGTTTATGGCAATGATAAGTCTTGGGAAATATTTTCAATGAGATTCTATGGGATTACAGCTAAAGTAAATTTAATAAATGTCAAGTCTATGGGAGAATGCTTTAAAATGTTAAGTCTATAACCATGTTAAGCTTATGGCTATGCTAGGTCTATGGCCACGGGTAATGTTTTTCTATTGCAATAATAATGATATAAGTCTTAGAATAACAATATTTTGGCACAACAAACGTAATTTTCTTACCAATCATAATAAGAGTTAAAATAAAATAAAACATTTTGCAACAATAACCGATCATAATAAAATTAAAACAGGAACCATTGTAAAAATAACAATGAACATTATTTAAAAAATTAAATATTGCTAGCTATTTCTAACCGATTTTGATTCTCTGTTTATCACCCGAATTGTGGTTAACTCTTTGCTTTGCGTGCAATCTTTGTTTTATTATTAAATAAAACACTATTGTATAATACAATACCTGCATAGGATTTGTGCCAACTGTACCATCTGTTTTCTCTTTTAGCTTTAAATATTTCACAAATTTATACGCCATTTTGAAGTGTTTCCTATGGATCAACACGTTTAACATGTATATACTGGCCTCTGGGTCAGCATCCGGTTCCACAAATAGACTACTCTCATTATTGTGCTTAACAAGCTGGGCAATATCCTCGAAACATTCATCTTTTTGAAAATGCTCACCAAGGTGCATGGCGTAACATGCTAATATTCTATCCATTGAACTAGTTAAACGCGGATACACTGTTGCCAGATAATCCAGTGCATGATACAGTTCCCGTTTTACAGTGGGCACAACATCATTTTCATCTACCAGTGCAATGTATGCATGCGCCGTTATGTAAACACCTGGCTGTTGACTAGGTATGGAAGCTAACTGAGTGATGTCCCGTTCTAAAAATTCCCCGGTAAACAACTGGTTTCCCTTTAGCCATGCACTCGAATAATATGCAATACCACTGTATTCACCGTTGTATTCGCCCAACACTTTCAACATTTTTACAAATTCAATTGTTCCCATTGTTGAGCCATAACGGTTAGGCCCAGCGGCAGGTACTTCAGTGCACTGTAGAGATGCCACTGATCCGTCAAATTGTGCTAGTGTACACTTGTTATCTAACCATGCCTTAATTATTGGTACCGTTTTGTCAATATCCGCCTTGGCCATCAGTCCTATATGAGCTCTATAAGCTAAAGCATAAATATGATTGGCCATTGTCCAATATCGTTGGTTACACGGTAGTGTTGCGTTATACGGTGTAAAAGTGTAATCGCCACGATAGGCCAGTTTATCAAGTTTATTGTACCATGTTTCACCGTTAATATCGTATAGAGTGACTAGATAACTTTTTCGCGAATTCATTATTATATTTTCACCGTGGGTAGCCAAATTAATTTGATAATTAAAAGGAACCTTACTATCCCTCATATCTAGTGTAAAATGTTTTAGTTGAGAATATCTAAAACCCGATGATTCTACTGTAACTTGTCTATCAATTTGTGCTAGTATTGTTATATTTTTATCTTCGTGATCAGTGTATAGTCTAGCTTGTATATTTCCCAATCCAACTATGTTGCTTACAACAGTACAGGTGCGCAGCACCTTTTTTCTAGATACTAATGTTACATTAAAGTAACAATTTTCAAATAGAAATTTTGGATTCAACTGGCTTGATGTGGTCTCATTTATGGTAAATGTTGCAACTAGATCATCATCGTGACTGTTGTAAATTAAAATCTCTAATTGTGATGATGTGTTTTGTTTAATCACATCAACGAAATTTATTTCCAGATATACTGTAGAATTTCTAGAAATCTTCACAAAATAATTGATTATAAAAAATATAAATTACGTAAATTTAAAAATAACATACTAATAACGGTTGTTTGGTAATACTAATTTCATTATTATCGTCTAGTGACAATGCCGATATTTGAAAATTACCACTGTATATTGTCGGTATGTTAGCTTCCAATGATACAGTATTTTTACTATTAAAAAAATATTAAAATATTAGAACATATTAAACTAAGTAATTTTAATTAGTACATTTGAACTTTATCCCACACCAGCATACTACTTTTCACACCATTAGTATTATAGATAATTTCATCGTGATTTTGATGATCAACATCCGGATCATAGGGATCTATATCGTCATTGTAGTCAAACATCTCTACACATCGGGCAGCCGTATTCGATACTAACGTTATTTGTGATGATAACTTTGGATTTTTGCTTATGTCTAACTGTTCCCTCCTGTAAACGGCATTAATCTGATTCTCAACGTTGAAGCTTTTATATTGATAGTTATTGACCATTTCATTGCCGCTAAACAATATTATCGATGATTTTGCGGATGTTTTAACGAGAAAATCTTCCTTGTGTAAATTTACCGATTTATTTACCGATAGGTGCGACAAAATTATATCTCCCACTTCTTGGGGCCTGATATACACGTCGACGTATTCGGTTACAAGTGTATCGGTAGCGGGACTGTACAGCATGACAACCAGTCTCGCTCCCGGTGCCATATTTTTATCAGCCATTATGTCTAAGTTTTGGACTTTATTTGCAGCCGGAAATGTAACGGTTTTACCGGCATAAAACTTATTTTTGTTGACAATTAAATAATATTTGATCATGGTGAATGGTTCGGAGGATATTAGCGTAAATTGTATCTTCTCACCAATGGTCGGCCGGGCGAAGACATTTGTCAGCTCGACGGTCATAAATGTTTTTACGCACCCGGTAATCTGTGAATAGGTATTTTTTGCAATGGTAGTTTTCATGTAGACAATTGTGACCAAGATACTTTTGACAGTTGCATCTGTGTTGAACGCCAGCATCATGTTGTCGTTATTATTGGCCACATTTGTCGGTTTTATGGTAACGTTACCGCCGTTAATCGTGGCCACTATTGCTAAGTCAGTTTTGTGCTCGTCGTACACAAATTTTTTCATTGGGTCGACCATCGAAAACTTGATAAACACTTTTATTTCGAGACCCGGTTTAATCAGTTTATTACCATTGGTGAACACAGCAACTACCGGTATGTTGACAAATTTTATCAATTTGTTGTCATGGTAACGTTGCCCAGTGAAATTGTCTACGCTGACCAGATCGACGTTAAACTCGCCGTCACATTTGGGATTCAGCAACGGTGTGTCCCTAAAGTCCAATACAATGTTTGGCACATCGAACTTTTTCACCCACGACTTTACCGGTACACTTACACCACAATCGGTATCTTTAGTAACGTTTACCATTGATTCACTGTGTATTGCGACTGCGATTGACTCCATAAACGGATACTTTGCGTCGATAGATAAATTAACTTTGGGATTACGGTAATCATTGATCATGTTTATATTGGTGACGTAATTTGCAAATTTTGTCCGATAATTGGTCACCATAAATTTATAAATGACACTGGTGTCATCAACAGTGATTTTTATTGACCAGGTACCATCAGGTGCTTGACTATCCAGGTTAAATATGATATCATTGGTCATACTACTTGTTAGAGTAAAATATGATTCATAGTATTTATCAGTAGCGTTAATATTTCCTTTAATCTAAAATAATAGGAAAAAATTATTAAAAATATATAATTATAAATTCTAAAATTCGAAAAATTACCAAACTAAAATATTGTCTATCGTAATTGAACGGGTCCTATATTATTGAAACAATAAATTAAAATTAATAAATATTCAAATAATATATTTAAATTTATTAACCACAATTCACATAAAGGTAAATGTAGTTTATAGGTTCGAACTCAACACTTTCTCATCGCCCTCCCCCACTATATGAGATATAACATGAGATCCCATATTACACTATATTTCTAATGCTTTTCCCGTGAGAACCATCAGATCATTTTCTGTCACGTGACCCTATGGTAAACTCATTTTCAATTTTTGTCCCAGTTTCAGTTTTCGTACAACAATTACTGTAAAATAATTCAACCATCCCAATAAAACTTAGCATTAAAAGATAAATTTTTGTTATAATAAAAATTAAATTTACATTTTAAAAATTTCTTTTGAACAAAAATTAAATTAAAAATTTTTAAATACGGTTTAAATTTTTTTTTATAGTCTGTGAGCATCACCCGAATTGTGGTTAACTAATAGCTTTTGAGTGCAAACCTTGTTTATATATACACTTACCGTCAAAACAATGCTAATCTTGTTGATAATTTTAGGGTCAATTTGTCTGAAGTCCTCGTTTAGTACAATCACACGAAACAAGACAGTTTCGCCCGGACTGTAGACACTGCTTGAACTTTGCACCAGTACTCGATACCTACTGTACACTAAACTGATATCCATTGTCTCCTTAAACACCTGTGCTTTAGTAGCGTTTAGCGCTGTTATAGTGGCCGTACAGCCGCCATATGGCCACTGGTCGGCCACAATCCAGTCAAATACGATATCGGGTTTCAGTGTTTTCAACACAATTGTCGTGTTTTTGCTAAACTTGATATTGGGATTTACTTTACTGTTGAAGTCCATTATAATCATTGTGTTATCGATAGCCCAATCGTATAGATTGATTAGTATTTTGTTAGTAACCCATCGCTCAATGGTTTTCGGACCAGTAATGGCATATTTATTTGCACTATTAGTTTGAAATATTTTGTTTATTTAAATTTTAAAGAAAGTTATCATAATATAAATATATTTACCATTCAAATAATGGACGAGATGCTAACAATAATAGTAAACATTTCACAAAATGTATGTAAACATTCATTTTAATTAACATTAATTTTATTTTGTAGATAAAACAAACTATTATTATTTAATTATCATTTTACATTTAATTAAACATTTTTTAAATATTAATAATATGAACAAATAATTTCAATATAACTGAAATTTTTATATGCTTATGAAGTACTTATATATTTTTATGATAAACAAATATTTATTAAACAAACAAGGATTGCACGCAAAGTTATTAGTTAACCACAATTCGGGTGATTTAAAAAAAAGAAAACGCTTAGAAATAGCTATTTTTAAAGTTATTTTTATGAAATTTTACTGATATAGTTGCGGCATTTTACATTTTGAACTTTTAATGTTATTGTTATGATCTATTCTGTTATTTGTCTAAATTTAATAGATGGAGAGGCAACATAATGCTATAAACTACATATTTCATATCTACATTAGTATTTAAAAATTATTATTACTTGATATCGCACTGAATATCAGTGTAACTAAAGATTTTCTTATCAACTAAAATAGTACATAATGTATAGGATAATTCAATTAAATGGTATTTTAGTAAGTTTAATTAGTTAATCAACGGATTCGAGTTCAGCATAATATTCAATAAAAATAATTATAAATGTGTAAAATTAAACAAAGTAAAAATTATGCCATAGAGCTATTTAAATAAATAATTCATAATAAATATTAAATATAATCAAAACAGTTTTATTTGCTATATTAAGAACAGACTTAGAGTAAATTAATCATTAAACGTTAATATTGATAATAATTCTAATTAAATAAATAATTCATTTATATATTTTTAATTTGTAAATTAAATTTTTAATATATTTTAATATATTCACATGTTGAATATGAAAAAATAATATTATTATATACTATAATTTTGGTGTATTTATTTTAATAGATATTAATAATATATCAAGCACAATACTACTAATGAATTTATCAATAACTCTTTGACATTTTACTTATCATTATAGTATTACTTAACGGTAAATCCAATATTTAAATATATTATACTATATAATTTTTAGTACATATAATATGAGAAATTGGATTAGATCAGTAAAGACCACTCGGGCAAATATTCGGGCAAATCTGTATTATCATTTATGTACGACATGATATTCCCTAATACATTCATATATAAGAATATAATGATTGAACAACATCTACGTTGACCAAAAATATGTCTTTGAGCTTTCCTGGATTAGATGTTATCACTTATTATACTGTATATTAGGAATGTGCTAAGAGAGCTCTGGGAGAGCTTTACTCATAGAAGTTTACATAGAGTCATAGTTGTTGAGCACATTTTTACTGTATATTATATATTTATTACAATTAACAAGTATTTCACAGCAATGCGATAAATTAACTACAATTCTTGTGATACTCAAAAAACAGAAAGCGCTTAGAAACAGCAATTTTTATTTTGAATTGTATTTAAAAATTACTCAATAAGTTAGATTAGAAATAAAAAACGGTGTTAAAGTACAAATATCACTTATTTATTATCTAGAAAATTAACCTTTGAATTGACTAAATTAATTATCTCGAGTGTTTTGTTTTTGAATTTAATTATACTAATATATTAAGTGATTATTGTAACTATCGAATCAAACAAGGATCACACAGCGATGCTATACGTTAACCACAATTCGGGTGATGCATAGGATTCGCATTGTCCATAGATTTTCACTACTAGACTCATTCGTACAATACGATCAACATAGTTTCATAGATTTAACATTACCCATAGGATTAGCATTAATCATAGACTTAGCATTACCAATGTTAAGCCTATGTCATAAACTTAAGCTGTAATTGCATAGAAACTCATGTTAAAGCATTCTCCCATAGACTTAACATTAGTCCCATAGGATTAACATGGAGGAAAACTACCCTTTTCTTTCATATTTCGCATTTCCATAGGAAAAGCATTTTCCACATTAAAGTATAGCCATAGGATTAACATGCAATCCCATGTTAAATCCAATAGGGTGGGGGGAAGGGGAGGGGTAGCCGAACGATCCTATATAACACATTATTTATATCTGAATTGTGGTGAATAATATTGTCTCCTGTATTTTTCAATTATCTCTCAAACGAAATGAGTTAAATCAAATTTGTAAATTATTAAAAGAAGTTGCGCAAACCTAGTTTATTTTGTACAAAAAATTAAAAATATCACATTAGTGAATTATAAAAATTTTGGGACATATGTCCAGGTCATGGTTGTAGTTTAAATAAAGAGCGATCGGAGGGGGGCGGGTAGGCTATGTAGTTGTGGAGATGTCGAAGTATATCCTGTTAATTTATGTTAAATAATAGCTTTGCGTGCAACCTTGTTTTACACAAAAAAAAAACAGTATACGTGGAATTTCATTTTATATATTACAATTCAATTTTATCTAGAGACGACAGTATTTTTTGAATCGGTAGAAATAATAATCTTCTAATATATTCAAATCCTGTTATGATTAAATTCAAGAACAAAACACTCGAGATAACAAAAAATGAACATTATGAAATTAATATGTTAATTCCTTAAAATGATAATTAGAGTTTTTTTTGTATAAATATAGCTAAGTTATGCTTTTAAAAATAATTATTTAAAGTTATTTTTATCGAAACGTTTTCAATTTTTAATAATAGTACAAACAAAGTTACATAACAAAAATGTTTTTGTTGCATTTTTTATGCATGCTCATTGCATTGAAAAATGTAGTTGCTGACAGGTAATATTTAAATTTAAAATTTTAAATTGCATATCATTTATAAAAAATGGTAAATGAATTGGAGTGATGGCCCTTTCCTATCATATGGGATTTATGTTAAGTCTATGGTTATATTTTAACATAGAAATTGACGATTTTACATGTTAATCCTATGGCCATTGACTAAACATGGGTAATGCCAGGTCTATGGGAAAATTATACAAGCAACATGATACTTTTACCTTATGATTAACATGGGCTAAATCACTGTAAACTGACATAATAACCGTTAATTTCCTAACAATTACCTAAATATTAAAATAAAAATAGTAAAACTTTAATAACTGTTATTCTGAGCTCGTTACATTCTTTGAGAATTACCCGAATTGCTGTTTATTAATAGTTTTTCTTGCAATCCATATATTAATATATAATTTTTTCTCAAAAACCACCTTGTTTAGTGCACATTATTCCATTTTGGCGCCCAAAGTTATGCAACCAAAATCCGAGTACAACGTGATAGTGTCGCTCAACAATTACGCGGGTCAGTCAAACATCACGTGCGAACTGACTAACGAACTGAAAGGCTTTAAAGTGTCAAAACGTTCGTACTTTGATTCCAACAATCAGTTCCAGAAGATAACACTTCAAGCCGGAGCCGATTGGCCGGAAGGTGATTATGATCTGTCCATTATCTCCACCGATGGGTTGGTCAACAAGAAGCAAGTCATACAATACAACTATAAAGTATTTGTGATTATGGTGCAGACAGATAAGGCAATTTATAAGCCAGGCCAGGATGTCCAGTTGCGTGCGGTGATCCTGGACAATCTGTTGAGGGCGGTTCCTCCCGATTTAATTGAGGACTTGAAAATTTTTATATTGGTAATCTATTTACTTATTTATATTAAATATCTACTATTAACAGACTGTTTGAAAAAATATCTCTTTTCTTAATAACTTTAAAACCAATCATAATAATTTAATTCTGTGTTCAGATTCTTATTCTTCTATAATTTCAGTATATAATTTTTTCCTACCAAGATCTACTTTTTTAAAACCACAATTCAGTTATTAATAATGCGGTTTATAGGATCGTTCGGCTCCCCCTCCCTTTTATCAGAGAAATAATTCTTTTCATAGACACTGCACTGCACAATAAGTCTAAAAATGTCATTAAAAAAATTCCAAAGTTAACCCTTGTCCAGAAATGCATTTTAAACCACTATCCTTATATGAATAATGTGGTTCATAAGATCGGCATATATAATATGTGCCCCTCCGCCCCCCACTATATGGGATTTAACATGGGATTACAGCTTAAGTCAATGACATAGAATTAACATGGGAAAGCTCTTATAGGATTAACATGGGGACGCCTTAACATGGGTTTCTATGGGATTACAGCTTAAGTCTATGATATAGGGATAATATGGGCAATGCTAAGTCTATGGCATAAGAATAACATGAATAATGCTAAGTCTATGGCAATGTTAATCCTATTTACAATGTTAAGTCTATAGGTAATGCTATATCTATGGCATAGAATTAACATGAGCTATGCTAATTTTTATGAACAATGTTAAGTTTATGGGTAATGTTAAGTCTATGGGATAGGAATTACATGGGTAATTCTAAATCTATGGCAATGCTAATCCTATGAGTAATACTAAGTTTATAACATAAGGATAACAATGCCAAGTCTATGGGCAATAATAAGTCTATGTGTAATGCTAAGTCTGTGGCATAGATATAACATGTGTAATTGTATATCAATGGGACAATGGGATTATAAATAAATCTTACATAATAAATCAAACTAATTGTTGTCAAAAACATTTAAAATTATTAAAATAATAATAATAGTGAAAGTATTCTAACAATAGTATTGAAAAATTTAAAATCTTTGGTGCATTTCTCGAATAGTGGTTAACGTATAGCATCGCTGTGTGAACCTTGTTTTCTAATAGTCTGTTACATGTATGATTTCAAAACAAAAATATATAAATATTTAATAAATAATATTTTATTAAATAAAATAATAATTTATTATTAATAAATTTTTAGGATCCACAAAATGTTCCATTGTTGGAAATGAGACGAGTAAGTTTTGTTTAAAGATATGTATTTAACGAAATATAATCATGATTGTATTAATCACTCTAGGATCTAGGCTTTAAAACCAAAGACCAACAATTATACAATGTGAACATGTTCAATTACACCAATGGCGTGACCGATGACATTACCTTTAAATTGCACGATGCCAGCAAACCGGGTCAATGGACAATCCAAGTTGCCACACACAGTCAATTGGAGAACTATACGTTCTACGTGGACTACTACACACTGCCAATGGCCAACGTAACCATAAATTTGCCAGATTATGTAAAATTTGACCATGCCACACTAGACTATAGTGTCGACGTGTTTTATACGTTTGGCAAACCTGTTGACGGTTATGTGGAGATTAAGATAGAAGACTATAAGGCGTGCGAAAAGTTGGTCAAAATTGATCCAGATCATTCATGGATCAAAAATTTGACATTAGAGCATGGTCAAATTAAGGGCACATTAAATTTACAAGATACCAAGTTATTGTTTGCGAACAATTGTTCACAAATTACGTTGAACATTTCGGCCAAAGCATACGATAAGAATACCGATACCGTGTACTTTAATTACGAAGTTCTTGACGTAATTGAATCGGAAATTAAAGGCGAGTTTCTCAACAAACAGCTAGTGTATAGGCCGGGAAAATCAATTATTAATGAGGTATTTTATTATAAAGTACGTCCATAAATATATTATTATTTTATTATAATATATAGATAATGTTAAAAACACGTACCGGTGAGCTGGTTAGCAAAGAAAAGCTGACTGATTTCGATTTAAAAGTACAGTATAAAACTAAAACTGTAACCAAGTATACAGATGGTACAGTGCAAGATAGGTATACTAGCGATGGTACGATAACATGCAAAATCAATACCGATGCCGATTATACTGACATGCTCATTGATCTTTTTGACAAAAAACGCAATGTAACTGTCGTAAAAAATGAAATAAAATTTTTAACAGATTGTTCTGAGGACACCATTCAGGTTGAATAGAAATTTGTTGCATACTTAATTTATGTATTTAAAATTTATAAAAAAATATAAATATTTCCATATATAAAGGTCCATCTACAGGAACAAAATAAAGTTATCAATATTGGCGACACTGTCAAATTAGTGATAGAGTCGTCACAGAAAATTTCTGAGTACATATATTACGTCGTCATCCGAGGCACAATTGTACAAACCGAAAACCGCAAAGGTAACGACAAAACTACAATTGTTATTGATTTTGCCATCACCCGCGAAATGGTGCCCGAAGTACTGGTAGCGGTATTTATGAAAGTACCCACAAGTAATGTCTTCATATCGGATGCTGTACATATATTTGTGAATGGCACATTTCACAATCAGGTAACGTTTCAAGTGAATATTCCTGTGGTTGACGCAGGAAAAAAAGCCCAACTTGTGGTAACTGCCGAACCCGAGTCGAATCTATTTTTACTAGCTATCGACGAGGCCATACTAGCGCTGAAACAGGGAAACGATTTGTCCGAAATTCGGGTGCTCAACAATTTGAAAACCAATGTCCAGTATAAGTACGATACGGACAGCTTCCTGTCCACGGGTATGGTGTTTATGACGAATGGCCAGAAAGAGTGTAAGAACTCAAAATTAATGTCGAGTTTTGATGGCAAAGAAGCTAATAAAATAGACGGCTACGACCCCGACGACGGCGGCGACGGTGATAGCCATAATCCGAAGACAAATAATGCCATTAGGAAGAATTTCCGCGAGACATGGATCTGGGATAGGATAGATATGTAAGAAAATTTAAAATGTATATTTTGCAAAATATATGCATTGTTAAATGTTTTTAATTTGTCGTGTGCGATTAGCCCTCATGGAAAACATAGGATCGGTATACGATCTACCGTACCCGACAGTATCACCTCATGGAAAGTGACAGCTTTCGCACTGCACCCGGAAAAAGGACTCGGATTGACTACTAACCCTGCTTATGTAAGTAATTTTTAAAAATTTAATGGGATTTAACATGAAATTACAGCTCAAACTTATGGTTATACTTTAACATGGGGAAGCTCTCATAGGATTAACATGGGAGGTATTAACATAGCTTTCTATAGGATTACAGCTTAAGTCTATGGCATAGGAATAACATGAGTAATTCTAAGTCTATAGCATAGAAATTACATGGGTAATACTAAGTCTATGGAGATATTATAAATAAATCTGCCATAATAAATAGAACTAATTGTTATCAAAAACATTTAAAATTATCAAAATAATAATAGTGAGAGTATTCTAACAATAGTATTGAAAAATTTAAAATCTTTGATGCATTTCCCGAATAGTTGTTAACGAATAGCATCGCTGTGTGATCCTTGTTTCTAGCTATCGTTATTTTATATTAAACATAAGTTTTCCAATTACAAATTTCCTATTGGGTCAATTGCTGTCACCGTTGTAATTTGGGCAGTAGCATAGTGAGTTAAAATGATTGTCATTTCAAGTATACCATGTGACTAAAACCAGGCAACACGGTATTGAGAAAAAATCCCGGATATGACACTCTCATATACTTTTTACAGAATCTAATTATCTCTTGTAGTTAAAATTATATAACGATTACCCGTGCGCGCGAATATACTGACCGTCTCTTTAGTTGAAACAAAATTTTTATTATTGATAAACTAGGTTACCGTATTTCGGCCATTTTTTCTCAAACTGAACTTGCCGTACTCGGTGAAGCGCAACGAGACTAGCGAGTTCCATGTACTGTTGTTTAACTATAAAAATGAGACCCTGGATATCACGCTGGACGTCTATCAAAATAGCACCGACAAGCATAAAACAATGATCAAGATTGATATTTGTAAAAATAATAAACAAACATTGGAGCCTGGCCAAATTCGGTCAATTACTTGCCACCTCAAATCTAACGGTGTGGGTCAATTTGATTTGGTTGCCTCGGCAACCGGCATCGGAAAACTGTCCAATGACAAAGTCGCTGATGGTGAGCTCAGACAGTTGAAAGTTGTCTACGAGGGCATTACTGTAGACAAGCACGTGGTGGTGGATCTGCTGATGTTTGAAAATGATGTGAACAAACTTACGACATCGGTTAAATCGGTTCTACCAAAGGATCGGGTGGTGGGCTCGGAGTTATTGTTGATGACCGCCACTACTGAGCTGATGACCGTTCAGTGGACCGATAAGTTACAGGGGCTCGAGCAAAATTACAGCATGAAGTTTGATTTTAGTAAACCTACTGGTTGTTGTCAGCAGCGTATCGATTTTGGCTTTCCTAAAGTTTATTGGCTAGACTACGCCATTGCCACAAACAGGTCGGATCAGGACATGAAAAATCAGGCGGTCAGCGATATAACGTATACTTATAGCTTACTTTGTTGGCACGTGGTCTATGACGGCTCGTTTGTTTATTATGAACAATGTAATTTTTTTTATTTAAAATTAATTTTTCTAATTAGAGTTTTAATTAGTTTTTATATTCATATTTTATTTTAAATCCTTATTTTAGATAACCCAAACGGTGGGCAGGATAACGTGGTACTTGACAAGCGTGCTGCGTTCTTATGGCAGACTGCATTCACCCTACAATTTATGACACATGTGGCCAAATACATACTTGTGGATCCGAAATCGTATAAAGACGTAAAAAATTGGCTAAAATCGGTGCAGTCGGCCAGTGGTGAGTACATCGAGACATACCGGGACCACGACATTATGTCCACCAAATCCAATGCCTATCTCACGGCGTTTGTGCACAAAATAATGCTCGAAGCGAACGAAATAAACCCAACTACCGATAAATGGTTGACCGAAGTTTTCGATCGATTGACCGATCCTTTGGACATGTTATCTACGTGTTTAGTCTTAAACATGATCAAAGCGAAAAATTTGGACCATTGTAACGAAAAAGTAGACAAGTTAATGTCACGTGACAGCACAGGTGCGTATTGGAATAATGACCAAGGTAAACCGAGTCTATATGTAACAGCATTTGGACTCATGTTGTTGAGTGAACGCAAAAATAAGGCAACGGCACTAGAGGTGTTTAAATATATCATTACCAAACAAAAGCACGATGGTAATTTTCACGATTGTGTTGGATGGTGTGTGGAACAAGATTCACTTGTTACGGTAACCTGTATGGAGGCGCTTACTAAGTTTCATATAATGCTCAAACAGTACGATCGGGTTAAGGAAAACGTTTTCGTCACCTTTGAAATCGCCGGCAGCGATAAACAGACTATTCATTTGTTGCCCAATAGCCAAGTGGTACAGGTTGTAGAGGGCAATGCTACGGCCCCGGAGGTAGGCATTGTTGCCGAGGGTTTTGGCAACGCTAAGGCAACACTAATGTATCAGTATAATACCAATACGTTAATTGAGGGCGGTTTCAATATCACCATTTCCCACACCAAACACAATGATAAATATGTTATGTTGCACATTTGTACCAAGTATGTGTATATAATAGTATTGATTTTTAATTTATATAATATATGCGTAACTTTATGTTGCACATCATATAGCACGTATAACACGAAAGATTTGTGTTAATATTGATTTACATAAATTAATTTTTGTTAATTTTTCAAATCAGTCACAAAGATCAAGATAAAACTACGACCAATAATATCATTGAAATTGATTTGCCCAGCGGTTACCACTATCACAGCGAAAACTTTGTTTGGAATAAAGATATTGTGGACAAAATCGAGGGCAAAGAAGGCGACACTCAGATAAATGTCTACATAAAACAGGTAATTAATTTTATTAAAAATGTTTTAAATTTTGTTTATTTTATTATTTATTTTCTTTGTGATCATGTATTTACAGTTAACTGGCAAACAGTTGTGTATTGATGTGCCCACCATTGAAAGCTACAATGTTGTCGACCGTTATGCCGTACCCGTGAAAGTGTATCCTTATTACGATAGAAGTAATATGAGTGTATTACCCTATGATGTGGATAAATAAATATATATTAATACTAATTGTAATAATATTTATTATAAAATTTTGATATAATTAGTTAATATTGTTATTATTACAATATATTATATAATATTTTGATTGAAATGGACTAATTAGGAACTTATTGTTTATTATAGACGTATTCTAATATTTTAGACAGATAATATTTTAAACGAATAAAACAAATGCATTTTTATCCATCAAAAGTTAATTGTAATTAATTAAATTTAATTGTTCGCAAAATATATGTTAAACGAGACGTGTTTTACAAGCGGACAGTTTGGCCAACAAATGGGCGTTCGGTTGCATATGAAACACATTATTCGGTCGATTCACCGAAAACGTGACCCTCTGTCCGGCCCTCAGCGCCCGTACGGCCCGATACAACTCGTCCATCGACTGGACGGCCGCACCGTTTATATGCGTTATCACATCAAACCTCTTCAGTTCATATCTAAATACAATTCACAAATTATAGCCATTAATACATTGTATGAATTGGTGTTTGTATTAAGTTGTATACATGTTTAACTTGAATACTTGTGTGACGTCCCAAACGAGTATACCATTGAGTTCGCTGCGAAGCTTTCCCTGAAAATCGGTGTTATTTTCTAACCTTTCCCTTAACTGGTTGTCCAATAAGTATACTGTGAGCCCCAGTGGGGGCCCACTCTTCTCATACACATAACTGTTGGCGATATTAAATAAATAATCTGAAAAATACAATTCATTTAACAAAACAAATACAAACTTATTAACTAAAAACATTATAACTGTACTTATTATAGAGCTGGTGACGGGTACGGCAAAGTGGTCGTTGGGACCGCACGTGACAATCGTAATGCCCACCACTTTGCCCCCGATGTTGACCAGTGGTGCGCCCGTGTCGTTAGGGTTCAGT